TACCACAAGTACATCATGTAAGGAGGGGAGCCAGGGTAGGATGGGCATGGGTTTGGAGGGGTTTGGGGTGCCAGGAGGGCAAGCTGGAGCACGCCTTCATCCTCTACCACAAGTACATCACGTAAGGGACACTGCCAGGGGGTGCAGGGCATGGGTTTGGGGGGCTTGGGGTGCCAGGAGGGCAACCTGGAGCACCCCTTCATCCTCTACCACAAGTACATCACGTAAGGAGGGGAGCCAGGGTGGGATGGGCATGGATTTGGGGGGGTTTGGGGTGCCAGGAGGGCAACCTGGAGCACGCCTTCATCCTCTACCACAAGTACATCACGTAAGGAGGGGAGCCAGGGTGGGATGGGCATGGATTTGGGGGGGTTTGGGGTGCCAGGAGGGCAACCTGGAGCACGCCTTCATCCTCTACCACAAGTACATCACGTAAGGGACACTGCCAGGGGGTGCTGGGCATGAGGAGGGGTGTTTGGGGTGCCAGGAGGGCAACCTGGAGCACGCCTTCATCCTCTACCACAGGTACATCACGTTAGGGACACTGCCAGGGGGTGCAGGGCATGGGTTTGGGGGGCTTGGGGTGCCAGGCATGAGGAGGGGGGTTTGGGGTGACAGCAGGGCAACCTGGAGCACGCCTTCATCCTCTACCACAAGTACATCACGTAAGGGACACTGCCAGAGGGGCTGGGCATGGGTTTGGGGGGCTTGGAGTGCCAGGGGGTGCAGGGCACGGGTTTGGGGGGTTTGGAGTGCCAGGGGGTGCTGGGCATGAGGAGGGGGGTTTGGGGTGCCAGGAGGGCAACCTGGAGCACGCCTTCATCCTCTACCACAAGTACATCATGTAAGGGACACTGCCAGGGGGACTGGGCATGGGTTTGGGGGGTTTGGGGAGGGGGAGAGCCCCTCAGGTCTCGGTTCAGGCCAGGGATCTGCTGCTCAGGGGTTTGGGGTGCTCTGCTCCCTGAGGGGTTTGGGGTGCCAGGAGGGCAACCTGGAGCACGCCTTCATCCTCTACCACAAGTACATCATGTAAGGGACACTGCCAGGGGGACTGTGCATGGGTTTGGGGGGTTTGGGGAGGGGGAGAGCCCCTCAGGTCTGGGTTCAGGCCAGGGATCTGCTCCCTGAGGGCTTTGGGGTGCTCTGGTGCTGAGGTGTAAAAATAGATAAAATTAAAAGTTGTAAAGGAAATAGATCCTCAAATGCTCCCCGGTCCCAAAGGAGAGCTCCCTGCTGTGGAGGAACTCCGTGCCCCCTCCAGCAGAGCCGTGGGGGTTTAAAAGGATAAAATCTGTGATCCCAGAGGGGCAGTGTCCTGTTCCTGTAGGTTTTCCCCTCAGTCTGCCCCTCCTGCCTTGCTCAGTGCCCCTGTGGCTCTGTGCTGTGCCCACTCTCCCCAGACAGCCTTGGCATCTCCCTGGGCATTTTCCCTGCCTGCCCCCCGTGCAGGGCTGCTGCCCCTCACACCCAACACATTTTTCTCTGATTAGCTTTGCTCCCTGCCTCGCCCTTCCTGAGCTTTTATGGGCATGGTGGCGAGGCCAGGAGGCTGCTGGGGAGTGTAAAACCTTTGGGAAAGGTTCCCAACAAAGCTTTGGGAAGAGTTCCAGGCCCCTCTCGCAGCTGGGGCTGGAGGAGAAACGTTTTAACTAAACAAATGAGCTGGTGCTTGGGTCATTGCAGCAGCCAGAGGTGCTGCCTTGTGTCCTCTGCTGCTTTCAAATGATTCTGCTGGCATTTCCAGCCTGCCTGGAAACCTTTTCCACCAGGGAAAACCTGGGATTTCTGCAGTGCTGTCCTTTTCCTGGGAAGGGGGGAGCTGGGGGTGTTCAGCCTGGGGAAGAAAAGGCTCTGGGGAGGCCTGGGGGTCCCTTCCACTGCCCAGAGAGGGGTTCTGAAAAGGAAGGAGAGAGGTTTTTACTGAGGCAGGGAGTGTCAGGCCAAGGGGGGATGGTTTTAAACCAACAGAGGGCAGGGATGGGTGGGATTTTGGGAAGGAATTCCTCCCTGTGAGGGTGGGAGGGAATTCCCAGAGCAGCTGGGGCTGCCCCTGGATCCCTGGCAGTGCCCAAGGTCAGCTTGGACCACCCTGGGACAGTGTGGGTGGGCTTTGAGGTCCCTTCCCATCCCATGCCAGCCATTCCAGGATTCTGGAACTATCTCCAGGATTTTTAACCTGTGTCTTGTCACCTTGCAAGTCCTTCCTTGCCTGTGGTCCTGAGCAGTTTCTCCTGCCTTGACCCAGAAGGGTGTTTGAATCACCAGCAGGAGCACTGGGCTAGTTTGGTAAAACCCAACGAGAAGGAAAAAAGGAATAAGGCACAACTTTGAGCCAAATAAGAAAGAAAAAAGGAATAAGGCACAGCTTTGAGCCAAATAAGAAATAAAAAAAAAGGAATAAGGCACAACTTTGTGCCAAATAAGAAGGAAAAAAAAGAAATAAGGCACAACTTTGAGCCAAATAAGAAAGAAAAAAGGAATAAGGCACAACTTTGTGCCAAATAAGAAAGGAAAAAAAAAGGAATAAGGCACAACTTTGTGCCAAATAAGAAAGGAAAAAAAAAGGAATAAGGCACAACTTTGTGCCAAATAAGAAAGGAAAAAAAAAGGAATAAGGCACAACTTTGTGCCAAATAAGAAAGGAAAAAAAAAGGAATAAGGCACAACTTTGAGCCAAATAAGAAAGGAAAAAAAGGAATAAGACACAACTTTGAGCCAAGTAGGAAAGAAAAAAAAGGAATAAGGGATAACTTTGAGCCAAATAAGAAGGACAAAAGGAACAAGACACAACTTTTCTGTAATGCTCCTCAGTTTGCTTGGATCAGCTCCAGGGACTCGTGGGGGTGTCACGGGGGCCTCGAGAGCCACCGGCTTGGCCTGGGCACCAGAGCTGGGCTTAAAAATAGTGCTGGCCCTGGCTGCTGCACAGCTGCTGCTCTGCTGGGCTCCAGGGGTTTGCAGCAGCCCGAGCTGCTGGCTGTGGGAGGTTTTGGTGTTGCCAGGCCCCAGCAGGGCTGTCACAGGAGCCAGGAGCTGTTCCAGCCCTTCCTCTGCCCCGGGGTTTTCCTCTGCCTGCCTGAGCCCTCCTCTCCTCCTCCTGCCCACGTCTTTCCCTGCTTCCTGACTTGTGGAAACCCAGCTGTCTCTGCTGGTTTTTCCATCCAGCCCAGGCCAGCATCTGCTCTTAATCCTGCCTAATTAATCCCTTCCATTTGGATCCTGAGCTGCTGGCAGGGCTCGGGGCCTTGTTGTGTCTCCTCGGCTCCGTGACCGACTTCACACCCCCAGCTGGGAGTGGGACCTGGCTGGGGTTGGGCTTTTGGGGGGCAGCCACAGCCTCTGCAGGGCTCCAGCTGTGCCCTGGCCCTGCTGATCCTGCATCCTCACCTGGAGCATCCAGGGGGGCACAAAGTGCTTGAGGGCTTGGAGCAGCTGGGTTTGTTTGCTGCACACACAGAGTGCTGGCAGAGTTTCTGTGACCCCTGAGTTTTTCCTGCTTGGCTTTGCTTGGTTTGTTCTGCTCTCTGTGGCACTGTCTATTCCCTTTTTCCCCTTTTTTTTCCCCATTTTTCCATTTTTTATCCCTTTTATTATTCCCTGGGACAGGGGAAGCTGAGTGGGAGGATGCTGAGCTCATCTAGATCTCCCTCCCCAGATCCAGCCCAGAATTCTCCCTCCTGCCTGGACTACCTGGGGAGCTCAGGCTGCACAGCCCAGAGGCTCCTGCAGCTGGGGCTGTTGGGAACTTGCTTTTTTCAAACTTGCTTTGCTTTTTTTGCTTTGAGCTTTTTTTGCTCACCTGCAGGTTCTCCTTGGCCGAGGTCTGAGCTGATTTCCCCTCCTGCACACACTCGGTGCAGAAGGGAGCTCTGAGTCAGCTGGGGTGGAATCCTGGGATGCTCCCAGGTGTGGGCAGCTGCCTGAGCACCTCCCTGAGTCACCACCCTGCCCTTGGAGCTCCAGAGCAGGTTATCCATGGTTCCCTTCCAAGCCAATGTGTTTGTCCCTGAGGGTCACCTCCAGAGGCCAGGTGCAGGCAGAGCCTGAGAGGGGCTCTCCCTTGGGACTGAGATCTCCTGAGTGCCATGCAGGGCTCCAGGGGCTGCTGTGGCATGGAGCCTTCCTGCAGCCAGACAGAGGGAGCACAGGGGTGCCCCAGAGCAGCAGTGAGTGTCCTGAAGTGCAGCTTGTGTCCCTTTTTGCAGGCTCTTCATCGAGAAGCTGCCGCAGCACCGCGATTACAAGAGCGCCGTCATCCCTGAGAAGAGGGAGACGGTCAAAGTAAGTGGGGACGTGGTCAGGGTCATCAGCCTGGGGCTTCCCTGCCTCTGGGATGAGTGATCCACACAAGTGCTGAGAACCTTGGCTTGGCCAGGCAGTGCTGAGCCCTCGGGAGTTCAGTTCTGGGCCCCTCACTCCAGGAAATCCATGGAGGGGCTGGAGCCAGAGATGGGAATGGAGCTGGGGAAGGGGCTGGAGCCCCAGGAGCAGCTGAGGGAGCTGGGAAAGGGCTCAGAGGGAGAAAAGGGGGATCAGGGGGGCCCTTCTGGCTCTGCACAACTCCCTGACAGGAGGGGGGATCAGGCTCTGCTCCCAGGGAACAGGGACAGGATAAGGGGAAACGGCCTCGCCTCACACCAGGGGAGGCTTAAGTTGGATATTGGGAAAATGTCTTCCCCAAAAGCATTGTCCAGTCGTGGCACTGGCTTCCACCATCCCTGGAAGTGTTCCAAAATACCTGGGGACACACATCAGTGGTGGACAGCTGGGGCAGTGATTGAACTCAATGATCTTGGAGGTGTTTTCCAACCTAAACAGCTCCCGGATTCTCTGGGTTACACTTGGGGAGTTCTCACCCCGTTGCACTTGCACTGGACTGGCTGTGGTGTCCAGCTGGGGTGTCCTTTCTTCCCTGATGCTTTTCAAAGACCATGAGTGGTGGCTGGTGGCTTTCTTTCCTCCAAGGGAATCCTTGGAGATTCCTCCCAGCCCCAGAAGCTGCAGCTCCTCTGCTCAGCGCTGACCAGAAGAGGAGAGGACAGCACTGCCCCAGCTCTTGCTCAGTGATTCTGGTGGTGGTTTTTGGACTCTTCAGCTGCTCAGGTTTTGTTTTCCTTGCCTTGGGGCTGCCTCAGGCTGATGCTGAGTTTCCTCCCCCAGAAACTGAAGGAGGTAGCCTTTCCCCGAGCCGAAGAGCTCAAGGAGGAGCTGCTAAAGAGGTACGCCCAGGACTATGCTAAGTACAAGGAGCAGGAGGTGAGTGACAGCAGACTGCAGGCTGTGCTCCCCTGGAGCCCCTCAGCCTCACAGGGGCTCCCTGGGTGCTGGGGAATGTCCAGTCTGGGTGGCCCCAATGTCACTGCAGGTGGCCCTGGCTCTGCTCCCCCTGCATCCCCAGCCAGCCTGAGCTGGGGCTGTGTGCTTGGTTTCTTCTCTCTGCCCCACGAAAGGAAAGCACCACACGATGGAAAATCAGAAGCAGAAATTAAATTTAAAAAGGGGAAGGGCGTAGGGGTTGGAATTCCATCACAAGCCCAGGATCTGTGTGGGCAGAGCAGTCACCTCTGCAGTCAGTTTGGCTCTGGACTGCAGAGGACAGAGGGAAATCAACCTGGGATTGTAATTCCATGGAAGAGGGAGGGTAAAGCTGTGCTTTTCCTGCCCTTGGTGCAGCTGGCTCTGGATCTGTGCCCTGCAAGCTGAAAGTGCTGTTTGCTGGTGACCTTTAGGAATAACCTGGGAACGGCTGGGGGTCTGCCTTGGGCTGGTGTCCCCCTCTCTGCTGCTGTCCCTGGGCGTGCTCCTCCCTGCAGCAGGAGGAGGAAGAAGAGTAATTTGTGCATCCTCTGGCTTTGCAGCAGCAGCTGGAGGAGGAGAAGACCCGGGTGGCCCTGATGAAGCAGCAGCAGGCAGAGCAGGAGCAGTTCCACGCCTTCGAGGAGATGATCCGGCAGCAGGAGCTGGAGAAGGAGCGCCTCAGGATAGTGCAGGAGTTTGGGAAGCCAGAGCCAGAGTCTATGGATGGACCCCTCATCCCTGGCGTGGAAAAGCCCCCAACAGATTTAACCCCAAAGGTTCCAGTCTCTCCAGTTCACCCAGCAAGTCCATCAGCGGGGACTGTGCCCTCCAAACCTCCTGTTGTGGACAGATCTTTGAAGCCCAGTGCTTTGGGGAGCACAGAGAACAGTTAGTACCTCTTGGAGCAGCTCTTCTCCCTGCTGGCGCTGAGCCAAACACAGCCAGCTTCTCTGGGAAGCTCTTGGAATTTCCTGATCGTGGGGGTTTGCTCTCCTGGGCCACTGGGTGTTGTCCTCCCTGCTCTTCCAGCCCAGCCTCTTTGCTCTTCCAGGGTCTGCAGCCTGTTTGCTTTTCCTTGTTCCAAATACTTGCTGGAGATTGGGGGTTAGCTCCTGGCTGGGCTGCCTGAATCCTCCTCCTGACCAAATCCCACTAAATGTGGTTCCAAAATACTGATTCAGACTCATCCAGTGGCTGAGGCTTGCCCAGTGACACGTCCTGCTTTAAACAACATTTCCTGAGGGTGTGTGGTTTCATTTTTAGTAACAAAACACTCCTTTTGACCCCCTGCCAGAGGATCCTTCCCCTCTCCATCTCCCTTTCCCTCTTCTGAGAGAGGTGCCGCGAGTGTCACGGTGACACAATTCCCTGAGCCCGCCACTGCAAGGTGACTTTATCCTTTCAGCTGGATTTTCTCTGTGTCACCCCTGAGGGACCTTTCCTGCAGCAGCCCTGCCTCTGCTCACTGTGCTCCCCGCTCCCCACAGGTGCAGGCGTGGATGTCCTGCGGCAGGTCATTGTCCCCAGGGAGCTGTGCCACAAGTTCCTGCAGCTGGCTGATGCCAACACGGTGCGGGGCGTGGAGACCTGCGGGATCCTCTGCGGGAAGCTGGTAAGGAAACAGCCCCCCCGGGGACCCCAAAAGTGCCACAGGGGGCTGCTTGGCCCTTGGAAGTGGCTCAAGGAGTTTGGTTTTTGTCCTGGGTTCTTCAGTGCGGTGTCAGGCTCCCGTGTGAGTGTTAGGGATGATGTGCCTCTCTCCCTTTCCTCGTCTTTTGGGTTAGGGTTTCCCCACCCTGATCCCCACTCAGCTTCTTCTCTCCCACTGGTGGCATTCCTGCTGGCATTCCTTGTCCTTTGGGTGTCCCAGCTGGTGGCCCTCAGGCTGACAGGATTCTGCTCCCCCCCAGACTTTGCGTGCCCAGGTTTTGTTGGCAGCTCCAGCCCATCTGCCCTGAGCCACTCCCAGAAGTTTGCTTTGAAATGAAGTTTGTTTGATGTAGCAGCTTCCTGCAGTCCAGCTGCTTCCAGACTCTGGGGATGCTTTAGGGATGAGGCATCCTCCCCTTTGGAGTGGAGAGCTGGATCTGGGGGTGTCCAGGGCTTCTCTGAGCTCCTGGAGGTGCTCTGCACAGCAGGGAGAATGAAACAGGAAAAAGTCCTGCAACTCCTTTGGAAAAAAATCCTGGAACTCCTTGGAGCTGCACCTGCAGATGGGTGGTGGATGCATCCATGTGTAGGAATGTGCCCTTTGTTGATGGAGCAACCAAATTATCCTTTGTCTCCTTAAAAAGGCAAAAAGCCCAGAAGTTTTTTCTCCTCAATTTGGTAAAAAGACACCTCATAAAAAAAGCTTTGAGACTTCACTTTAAATTTGGGGCTGCCCAAGAGGCCAAGAGGTCTGGCCTAGGTAATTCACTAGAAAAGGAAGAAAACAAAGGAAATAATCCCTTTGGTGGGGTGTTCTAGCAGGAACAAGAACCTCTTGCCCTTAGCTCAGCTTTTCTCTGTGAGAACTTGGTTTAATGTAAGGCAAAATAACATTTTTCTGTTTCCAACACCACCTCAGAACCCATCCTGCTCATTTTACGCCATTCCAAGTGGCTGAGCTATCTCAGGTGTAATAAATTCTCTCAGAGCTCATAAGACCTAACTCAAAGAGAAAGCCATCATCCACGGGCTTGTGCCAAGGCTCAGGAAGGTCCCTGGGCTGGGGCTCACAGCTCCCCGTGGTGGCCCTGCCTTGCAGATGAGGAACGAGTTCACCATCAGCCACGTCATCGTCCCCAAGCAGCTGGGGGGCCCCGACTCCTGCACCACAGAGAGCGAGGAGGAGCTCTTTGTCATCCAGGACCAGCATGGCCTCGTCACCCTGGGCTGGATCCACGTGAGTCTCCTTGCCCTGGCACTCCCTGGCCTTCCAGCCCCGAGGGGAAGGGCTGCTGGAGCAGGGAATGGGCAGCAGCCTCTGGTTCTCTCTCTGCTACAGCCTCGTTCACTGGCCTGGTGGGGAAATCCAGGCCTGGGTCATGTTTGGGTTCCTTTCTAAAGCATCAAGCCCTTTGAGAAGGAAAGAGGAAAGGTTTAATGAGATCCTGGGAAGAAACTCTTCTCTGGGAGGAAGGAGGAAAGGTTTAATGAGATCCTGGGAAGAAACTCTTCTCTCGGAGGAAGGAGGAAAGGATTAGATGAGATCCTGGGAAGAAACTCTTCTCTCGGAGGAAGGAGGAAAGGGTTAATGAGATCCTGGGAAGAAACTCTTCCCTGGGAGAGTGGGGAGCCCTGGCACAGGTTCCCAGAGCAGCTGTGGCTGCCCCTGGATCCCTGGCAGTGCCCAAGGCCAGGCTGGAGCAGCCTGGGACAGTGGAAGGGGGCACCCCACCACAGGGGTGGCACTGGATGGGCTTTAAGGTCCCTCCCAACCCAACCATTCTGGGATTCTCTGGAAGTGGCATCTCACACATGAAGCTCACGTTTCCTCCGGCTAGAAGCCAGCTCTGGTGGCTCTGTGGGGACACCCCAAGCTGCTCTCCTAGAGGGACACTTGTCCCAGGCCGTGTCCCTGAGCAGCCCTGTGAGCTGTGCCAGCTGCAGGCTCCTCCCCGGCTGCCCGCTGTCCCCGGGGAGCCTTTGGCAGTGGGATCCCTGCCAAGCAAAGCTGAGTAATCTCTCGAAAGCAGCAGCTGCCTGAGGGCTTGGCCAAGGGATTGCTGCTGCTCCAGAGAGCCTGCTCCACGCAGGGTGGCTGCTCCAGGGCCACCTCTGCACTGACAGCCCTGCAGAGGCTCCCTCCTGCAGGTCCTGGCAGCAAAAGCCCAGCGAGGGCAGTCAGCAGGAGCTGAGGTGTGAGACGTGGCTGTCAGCAGGGGCTGGGTGAGCTGTCAGGGGCTGTGCAGCCCTCCAGGGAGTGTGGTGTCCCCCACGGAAGGTGATGTCCCCGTGGAATGTGGTGTCCTGCAGTGCTGTGGCACCATGGGCTGTGCTGAGCCCTGGGAGCTGCGCTCCTGCCCTTGAGGAAGGTGTGAAGTGGCCTGCAAGGACGTTGTTGTGGCTTCAAGGTGTGATTTTTTTCCATAGGGTGTGGCAGGAATGTGGAGGTCCTTTTGTAGGTAACTCCCCGTGGAAAAGAGGAACACACATTTTAGGACAATCCAAAAAAAAAAAAAAAAAAGAATAAAAACCAAGAGAGCTGGAAGGGGCTTAGGACAAGAGCAGGGAGTGTGATAGAACAAGGGGGAATGACTTGCCAGTGCCAGAGGCAGGGTTACATGGGATGTTGGGAAGGAATTGGGAAGGAATTCTCCCATGTGAGGGTGGGGAGGGGCTGGGATGGAATTCCCAGAGCAGCTGTGGCTGGCCCTGGATCCCTGGCAGTGCCCAAGCCCAGGCTGGGGCAGTGAAAGATGTCTCTGCCATGGCAGGGGTGGCACTGGATGGGCTTTAAGTCCCTCCCAACCCAAAGCATTCCACAATTCCATGAATTACACCCCAGCCCTGTCCCCTGTGCCCTGCAGGGAGCTGTGCCTGCTCTGCCACAAGGCTCCCTTGGCAGACAGGATCCCCTGGCAGGGTTTCCCAGCTCTGAGTGCTGTCCCTGACCCTGTTGCAGACCCACCCCACCCAGACAGCCTTCCTGTCCAGCGTGGACCTGCACACCCACTGCTCCTACCAGATGATGCTGCCAGAGTCCATCGCCATCGTGTGCTCCCCCAAGTACCAGGAGTGAGTGAGGGGCGGGAGTGTGGGGCTCCAGGAGTGACTCTGGATCCCAGGAGTGTGGGCTGGGGAGGTTGTTCCTCTGCCTGGGCTGTCAGGCACAGCCTTCCTCCCTCAGGACCCACCCCACCCAGACAGCCTTCCTGTCCAGCGTGGACCTGCACACCCACTGCTCCTACCAGATGATGCTGCCAGAGTCCATCGCCATCGTGTGCTCCCCCAAGTACCAGGAGTGAGTGAGGGGCGCCAGGGGGGAGTGAGGGGTGCCAGGAGGGAGTGAGGGGCTCCAGGAGGGTGTGAGGGGCTCCAGGAAGGAGCGAGGGGCTCCAGGAGTGACTCTGAATCCCAGGAGGGAGTGTGGGGCTCCAGGAGTGACTCTGGATCCCAGGAGTGTGGGCTGGGGAGGTTGTTCCTCTGCCTGGGCTGTCAGGCACAGCCTTCCTCCCTCAGATCCTTGCTGGCATGGGATCCATGGGATGGGATCCATGGGAGGAGATGGGATCCATGGGATGGGATGGGCTGCAGAGGCTGCAGCTACAGAGCTGCTGTTCCTGCTCCAGGACAGGGTTCTTCAGGCTGACGGAGCATGGCCTGGAGGAGATCTCATCCTGCAGGCAGAAGGGGTTCCACCCCCACCCCAAAGACCCCCCTCTGTTCACAGTGAGTTCCCTGGGGGCTCTGGGGAGGGTGCCTGGGCTGGGATTAAATCCACCCTGAGGAGCTGGGCTGGGCTGGGATGGGAGGCTCAGCCTGGCAGGAGGTGCAGGAGCTTCCTGAGATCCTGCAGGTGCTGCAAGTGTGCTGCAGAGCTGCTGGCTGCAGGAGCAGGGCGAGGCAGCAGCCCAGGGCTGTTTTGGGGGGGGGGATTTGTGTGGGGCCTGCCATGATCCCTGTGTGGCACCAGGCAGGGCCAGCAGTTGGGGTGATGCAAGAACTGGATCCAGGGGCTGTTCTGGGAAAGCTCAGGTTGTGTCAGGGGGTGGAGGAAAATCAGCTGAGCTGTGGGAACATCTGAGTAACCCCTGTCCCCTCTTGTCCTCTCTTCCAGACCTGCAGCCACGTGTCAGTGGTGGAGAGAGACGTGGTGCTGCTGGATCTGCGATAAGCCTCTTGCCTTGTCCCCTCTCAGGAGCCCCCCACCTTCCTCTAGGCCTAGGGAATCTGTTTTCCCCTCCTGTAGCAGACGATTTCTACCACGTAGTGATCCTCCCTTCCTCCCCCACTGAGATCCCTGCCCTCAGTGGGAGCCCTGGAACCTCAGTGCCTGGCTCCAGGTGTGGGGAGAAGCCAGCTGGGAGCTCAGAAACAGAAACCAACACTAAAGCAGTTGTTTAACTCTAACCCACGGCCTCCTGGGGAGGTTCTTTGTGACTTGCTGCAACCCTGAGGTGTGGAAACCTCTTCAAGTGCTTTTGGGACTTGCCCACTTTAACCCATGCCCTGTTCTGTCCCTCATTCCGGGCTGCTTGGTCTCAGCACAGCTTCCAGGAGCAGATAAACCTTTCCTGTGGTTTAAACCCAAACCTTGCTGACCCTTCTGAGCCCCACACCAGCTCAGGGCTGCTTGTTGGTACTTGTGTGTCTGCCTGGGGAGGGAGGAGGGCCTGAGCTCCTTTGGGATCCCTCTGCCAGTATTTCAGGGCTGGAAATCCACCCCAGCAGTGTTTAGGATGTCTGGGCACTCATCCCTTTTCCTGGCCTGCTGTTACCATGGAGGAGCTCGGTCTGGCTGCCACCACCACTCCATGATGGGATTCCAGCAGCTCTGACCACCCCAACCCCACTCCAGGATGGGATTCCAGCAGCTCTGACCACCCCAATCCCACTCCAGAATGGGATTCCAGCAGCTCTGACCACCCCAATCCCACTGCAGGATGGGATTCCAGCAGCTCTGACCACCCCAATCCCACTCCAGGATGGGATTCCAGCAGCTCTGACCACCCCAATCCCACTCCAGGATGGGATTCTAGCAGTTTTGACCACCCCAATCCCACTCCAGGATGGAATTCCAGCAGTTTTGACCACCCCAACCCCACTCCAAGATGGAATTCCAGCAGTTTTGACCACCCCAATCCCACTCCAAGATGCAATTCCAGCAGTTTTGACCACCCCAATCCCACTCCAAGATGCAATTCCAGCAGTTTTGACCACCCCAATCCCACTCCAAGATGCAATTCCAGCAGTTTTGACCACCCCAATCCCACTCCAAGATGCAATTCCAGCAGTTTTGACCACCCCAATCCCACTCCAAGATGGAATTCCAGCAGTTTTGACCACCCCAATCCCACTCCAAGATGCAATTCCAGCAGTTTTGACCACCCCAATCCCACTCCAGGATGGGATTCCAGCAGTTTTGACCACCCCAATCCCACTCCAGGATGGAATTCCAGCAGCTTTGGCCACTTCCCTGCTCCCAGCTCCCCGTGCCTGTGCACACCCAGAGCAGCAGCAAGCCTGGCTCAGGAAGCCTGGCCTTGCCAAAGCCGAGCTCAGCCCTTGTGCAGGACCCTCCTGGGGGTGCTTTAGTCGGGGTGGGGGGTTAGCAGCAGCATTCCAAGGTGGCAGCCAGCTGTGCCAGCTGTGCCAGGCGTGCTGCACGTCCCCGGCAGGGTGGGGTGGGGTGGGATGGTCGGCACATGGGGAAGGGGAGGGGAAGGGGCTGGAGCTGCCCTCCCACCCGGCGTGCAAACATCGCCGCGGCTGTGTGTCTGGCACACATGGACGGGATTATCCAGCTGTTTTCTCCTGCCGTGCCCCTCCTTTTCCCGGAGCTCTCTGTGGGGCGGGGTCGCCTCGGGGGGATCCGCTCCTTTGGGGCTGCCGCGTTTGCGTGACGAGCGCTGCTCCAGCTTTTCCCCGGTCGCTTTTGGGAACAGGCTGGCCCCGGGCCGGGAGGGATAAGGGGGGGCCTTTAGGGCATCTCGGGGAACTCGTTTGCAGCCCTAATTAATTAGCCGTGCTCGGGAGGGGGTGCAGTTGCCGTGGTGTTCATCCCGCAGCTCCTCGCCCCGGGGCAGCGTGGGGACACCGAGTGGAAAATCACATCCTGCAGAGCAGCAATTCCTTCACATCCGTGGGGATTCATCCCAGCTCCTCATCCCTGCAGCTCTCAGGTGTCAGCTGGCCACCACTTCTGTGCTGTCCCAGTGGCTGGTAAACCTTGCCAGGGAATTTTCCAGGAGCAGGGAATTGCTCAGGTCAGGGTCTGCCTCGCTCCCAGCCCTGCTCCCTGAGCTCCCGCCTCTTTCATCCCATTTTTCCCCCCAGGTCCCTGAATCCTCACTTTGTGTCTCAGTGAATGTCGATATCCAGGCCCTGCTGCCCAGCCTGGCTCTCCAGCTGTGCCAGCTGTGACCGTCACACCTTAAAACCGCCCAAACCTGGATTTGGGAGGAGCTGAGAAGATAAACCACGCTCAGCAGTGATTTATTGGCTGTGTTCGGGGGGGATTCCGCCGGACGAGCGATGCTTATCTCCCCCCGAGCAGATGGAACTCATCCAGATCTCTTTTTTTTCACGCCTTTCCCGTCCTCAGCAGCATCCCCGGAGCTCCCAGGGTGAACATTCCCCCCGAGGGCGGTGCCGGCACCGGGATTTGGGAAAGGCAGCGGCCGGGCCGGGCTCGTCCCCCGCCGGTGCCGGGGGATGCCTGGCGTTCCTGCGAGCATCCCGGGCCCGCTGGATTGGCTGCGGGGGCCAAACCTTGCCTTTTTAGGCTGCGCCTGGCTCCGGCTCGGGGCTGAGCTCGGGGATGCCCCGGCCGTGGGGCAGCCCCAGCCCCGGGGATGAGTGCTGGGGCTGCTCGGGGGTCTCGGGCTTTGGGAATGGCCGGGGAGGGGGGATCCTGCCTGCACACGGGGCTCTCCAGCTGCTGCCTCCATCGCCCCCTCTGCCCTCCCCACTCTGTGGCTTTGGGGTGTGATTCATTTTCATTTGTAATTCGTTTTAATTTGTAATTCATTTTAAAGGGGTTTTTTTTTGCGTGTCGTCTATGGCAGCCTCTCGCCTCGGTGACCTCGTGTTTGGCGGGGACCCAGCCGGGTTGGAGGTGAGGTGGCAGCAGGACCCCGGGGCTGGGGGCGTGGGGGGACACCAGGGGCAGGGCAGGGGACACAGCCAGCCCTGTGAGCTGCTTCACAGGGACAGGGACTTCACAGCCAGCCCTGGGGACACGGGGCTGTGACTGTGAGCTGCTTCACAGGGACAGGGACCTGGCAGAGCCAGCCCTGGGGACACGGGGCTGTGAATGGACTGCACTGCTGGGGACACAGTGTCCCTGTCCTGCTCTGGGGGTGACAGGTGGGACAGAGCCATCCCTGGGGACACGGGGCTGTGAGTGGACTGGCAGTGCTGGGGACACTGTCCTGCCCTGGAGGGTGACAGCCCAGAGGGGACAGAGCCATCCCTGGGGACACGGGGCTGTGAGTGGACTGGCAGTGCTGGGGACACACCGTGTCCCTGTCCTGTCCAGGTGGGACAGAGCCATCCCTGGGAGAGCTGGGGCTGTGAATCGACTGGCAGTGCTGGGGACACTGTCCTGCCCCGTGGGGTGACAGCGCAGAGGGGCCAGAGCCATCCCTGGGGGACATTGGGCTGTGAGTGGACTGGCAGTGCTGGGGACACAGTGTCCCTGTCCTGTCCAGGTGGGACAGAGCCATCCCTGGGGACACGGGGCTGTGAGTGGACTGGCAGTGCTGGGGACACAGTGTCCCTGTCCTGTCCAGGTGGGACAGAGCCATCCCTGGGGACACGGGGCTGTGAGTGGACTGGCAGTGCTGGGGACACAGTGTCCCTGTCCTGTCCAGGTGGGACAGAGCCATCCCTGGGGACACGGGGCTGTGAGTGGACTGGCAGTGCTGGGGACACACCGTGTCCCTGTCCTGTCCCATGGGGTGACAGCCCAGGGCCCATTCCCTCCCTCTGGAACCATGGGGGACACCAGGACCTTTGTGTCCCTTGCCTGTGGTGACACCCACAGCTCCTGGGGTGTCCCTGCCTCGGGCACAGCTGGGGATCATCCGGGGCCCGCCGTGCCTCAGTTTCCCTGGAGCCCTCCCTGGCTCCGGGGGGTGACTCCGGGGCATCTCTGCCGCCTCCCCCGGTGCTCCGGGAGGCTCCTGGTGAGGGCCCGTTGTCCTTAAAAAGGCAGCCGGGAGTTCGGGAGCCTCTGGTTGGCCTCTGCCAGGGCCGGGGGCCAGGGCTGGGGGTGGCCGCGGCCCCCCCGGGCTGTGTCCGGGCTCGGGGACAGCTCCCACCGTGTCCCCTGGCGGGGTCTGAGCTGCTCCCCCCAAAATCCCCCGGTGGGGGATCAGAACCCGGCTCCCCCTCAGTGAGCGATCAGGATTTGGACCCACAACCCCCGGCCTGGCTCAGGACGAGGATTTGAGGCTTTGGGACAGCAAAAGCCCAAAAATGGGGGCGGAGAGAGAGAAAACCACGGGGAGAGGCATCCCAGGAGCGCCGGTGGAGGGGGCAGCGAGGCCGGGAGGAGCCGGGGCAGCTCAGCCCCGGCTCGGGGGTGTCCCCAGAGCCCCCAGAGCCACCTCCACCCCGCAGAGCTCCCCAGGACCTGCGGGCGCTCCCAGCTCCTTTTCCCCAGCCCGTCGCTTATAAGGACTTGTGTCTCACTTGTTTATCGGAGCGCAGCATAAAAGGAACGGACTCCCGACGGGGCCGCCGCCTCCCAAGCATCCCTACCATACATTTTCCTACAATAATTAACCGTGCTGGGTCCTACCACCGGCCCAAGGTCAATTTAATGAAATAAAACACCTTATATGGCCATATGGCCAAGGCACCATCACTGAGCCTATTTAGGGTCTTTGTTTAGAGCGGATCCGCCTCTGAGGTTCCTGGGGCTCGCTGGTATTTATACCCACGGCTCATCGGGGCTCGGTCCCAGAGGAAAGGAGCTCTCTCGCCTCCGTGGTGAGTACCGCCCTGCCCAGCCCCGCTTCCCTTCTTCCTCGGAGGGCAGCGAGCAGGAGAAACACCCCGGGGGGTTTTTATTTGGGGTGCCTCAGCTTTTACGGCTGGGTTTGCGTGGCACGGAGGGGGTGCCAACCCCGGCACGACCCCACAGCCCGGAGCCTCGCTGGAGGTGGCCAGAGCTGGGCTGAGGCCAAAGCAGGTTGTGCTCTCGCAGAAATCTCCGTGATTTGGGGTTTTTTTTTTTGGCTTTTTGGGCTCCTGCAAGGTTTTGCCTGTTTCCCTTCGGATCGGGGAGCTCATCCTCTGGCACAGGGGGCACCCCCTGGGAAGGGCAATATTTTTCCCCCCCCGTTTTTGGGAGCAGATGCGAGGTCAGAGCAGCAAAAGGCTGAAGATGAGAGGGCATCACCTGGCACCCCCTGCCCGCTTTCGGGGGGCACCGCCCGGGCACGGCAGCACCGGAGCTCCCGGGGGAGGCTTCGGCACCGATTTTGGCCAAGAAGAGGCTGCAGGAGGATGGAGCAGCAGCACCAGCGTGGAGCAGCACCCACGGGGAGCGAGCATCACCGCTCTGGGGTCGGCCCACGGAGGATTTTACCCTGCTGCCCATCCCCGAGGACTCCGACGCCTCCGAGCCCAAATCCGGCGGCGCTGGCGCGGGACGAGCCCGGTGCCGGCCTCTCCGTAACGCCCCTCTCCCCCCCGGGCAGCTTTTCCCCCAGGTCCCCCCAGCACCGAGCGCTGCCACCCCGCCATGTGCGACGAGGAAACCACGGCCCTGGTGTGCGACAACGGCTCCGGCCTCTGCAAGGCCGGCTTTGCCGGCGACGATGCCCCCCGCGCCGTCTTCCCCTCCATCGTGGGGCGGCCCCGGCACCAGGTGGGTACCCGGGGGGGCCTGGGCAGCCCCCGGCCCCGGCTGGCCGCGGAGCGCGGCTAACGAGGCCTCTCCCCCCGCGTTAGGGTGTCATGGTGGGCATGGGGCAGAAGGACAGCTACGTGGGCGACGAGGCGCAGAGCAAGAGGGGCATCCTCACGCTCAAGTACCCCATCGAGCACGGCATCATCACCAACTGGGATGACATGGAGAAGGTGAGGCCCTGGCGGGGCGGGGAGGGGGGTCAGCCCCGCCTTCGGTTTGGGGTGACAGCCTGGTTCTCTGCCTGCCTCAGATCTGGCACCACTCCTTCTACAACGAGCTGCGTGTGGCCCCCGAGGAGCACCCCACCCTGCTCACCGAGGCACCCCTCAACCCCAAGGCCAACCGGGAGAAGATGACCCAGGTAGGGCCCTGGAGATGACCCCTGGATGGGGCTGGACCCTCCAAAACCGCAGGAAGGGCTGGGGAAGGGGGGGGGATGTGGGGTTTTGTGGGGTGCAGGATAAGGGCAGAGATCCCAGTGGGAATCCCCCTGATGGCCCTGGGGGTCTCTTGGCAGCGCGTGGACCTGCAGGATTTGCCCCACCATGTGCTCCCCACTCTGCACAGCCCCACGTGGCTCTGTGCACTGCGGTGACCCACGCTTCCATGCCATCCTGACCCACGTGCTCCCTGCCCCATGCCCGGCCCCACGTGGCTCTGTGCGCTGCGGTGACCCACGTTTCCATGCCATCCTGACCCACGTGCTCCCTGCCCCATGCCCGGCCCCACGTGGCTCTGTGCACTGCGGTGACCCACGTTTCCATGCCATCCTGACCCACGTGCTCCCTGCCCCATGCCCGGCCCCACGTGGCTCTGTGCACTGCGGTGACCCACGCTTCCACGCCATCCTGACCCACGTGCTCCCTGCCCCATGCCCGGCCCCACGTGGCTCTGTGCGCTGCCATCGCCCACGTTTCCACCTCTGGGCCCACGTTTTCCCAGGACCCACGCGTTCCCGTGTCCTCCTCCGTGCCCCACAACTCCACCACCCACCCGTTCCTCCATGCCCCACAACCGTCCCCGTGTTCCTCCACGCCACGCCCTGACCCCAGGAAGGCACAGGGGTGGGGTGGGGCGTGCCGGCGACCCCCGTGCCCTCCCCTACCCCCCTGCCCCTCTCGTCTCCCCTCCAGATCATGTTTGAAACCTTCAACGTCCCCGCCATGTACGTCGCCATCCAAGCCGTGCTCTCCCTCTACGCCTCCGGCCGCACCACCGGTGAGCAGGGGAACCGTGGGTGACCGTGGGTGACCGGGACCGGCCCGGAGCGTCCCCCCTCACCTTTCCCGTGTGCCAGGCATCGTCCTGGACTCCGGGGACGGCGTCACCCACAACGTGCCCATCTACGAGGGCTACGCCCTGCCCCACGCCATCCTGCGCCTGGACCTGGCCGGCCGCGACCTCACCGACTACCTCATGAAGATCCTCACCGAGAGGGGCTACTCCTTCGTCACCACCGGTACGGGCGCGGGGAGGCGGCCTCGGGGACGGGGACGCGGCCTCGCCGCCGCCGGGCTGAGCCTCCCCCGCCGCCGTGTCCCGCAGCCGAGCGGGAAATCGTGCGCGACAAGACCCCATTCCAGTGCCCCCAGACCCTCCTCCAGTGTCCCCAGACCCTCCTCCAGCACCCAAAGACCCTGTCCCAGCCCCCAGTGCCCCCAGACCCTGTCCCAGCCCCCAGACCCTCCTCCAGTGCCCAAAGACTCCATTCTAGTTCCCCCCAGACCCTGTCCCAGCCCCCAGACCCCATTCCAGTGTCCCCCGACCTTGTTCCAGCCCTCCTTCATCCCTGACCCCCCAGACCCTCCTCTAGCCCTCATTCATGGCTGAGCCCACCCCAGTGCCCCCAGACCCTCCTCCAGCCCTCCTTCCTCACTGAGCCCACCCCCAGTTCCCCCTGGGCATGGTTGCCCCCATCCCCACCAGCAGACAAACAGAAAATGCCCCTTTGGCATCTCCCAGCTCCCGTGGGTGCCCCATGGAGGCGTTTTGGGGCTCCCCCGAGCGCTTGGCACCGCCACTGCTGGGCCAGACCCACGGCTTCTCTTTTGGGGAGCCCTGGGGGGGCACGGGCGGGGCACAGGGAGGTGACAGCCCCCTGCCACGCCAGGCATGGAGTCCGCCGGGATCCACGAGACCACCTACAACTCCATCATGAAGTGCGACATCGACATCCGCAAGGACCTGTACGCCAACAACGTCCTGTCCGGGGGCACCACCATGTACCCGGGCATCGCCGACCGCATGCAGAAGGAGATCACCGCCCTGGCCCCCAGCACCATGAAGATCAAGGTGGGCCCTGGCTGGCCAAAGCAGCCCGCCAGCACCCCGGCTCCCCGCCCGCCGCGGGGTTTTGGGGTGATCCTACAGGCCGCTGTCCCCGCAGATCATCGCCCCGCCGGAGCGCAAGTACTCGGTGTGGATCGGCGGCTCCATCCTGGCGTCCCTCTCCACCTTCCAGCAGATGTGGATCAGCAAACCCGAGTACGACGAGGCCGGACCCTCCATCGTCCACCGAAAATGCTTCTAAGCCCCCTCCCCGCCCCGCGGGGGCCCCCCGTGCCCAGGCTGGGGTGCCCCGCTCCTCCCCTGGCCCCGCTGCTCCTCCCCACTGCCCACCGCGCATTAAAAAGCCTTTTCTCCAGCTCGGAGCGTTCCTGGGGGGCTGGGGGGGCTGGGGGGGCTGGGGGAAAGAGCCCTGACCTCACCTTGGTGGTGTGTCCTGCTGGTGGCCTTGATGTCCCCAACCCCATGGGAATGGCCTTGACCCCGTATCAGTGCCCCCAACCTTGAGATGATGCCCCCAACCCCATGTTGGTGACCCCAACCCTGCAAGGATGTCCCCAACCCCATGGGAATGCCCTTGACCCCATATCAGTGCCCCCAACCTTGAGGTGATGCCCCCAACCCTGCAAGGATGCCCTCAACCTCATGTTGGTGACCCCCAACCCTTGACAATGCCCCCGACCCCATGTTGGTGACCCCAACCCTTGATGATGCCCTCAACCCCATGTTGGTGACCCCAACCCTTGATGATGCCCCTGACCCCATGTTGGTGACCCCAACCCCATGTTGGTGACCCCAGTGTGGTGTTGGTGGCCCTGACCCTTGGCTGATGCCCCCAGCCCTCGATACCCTCAGCCTCCCCACAGTGTCCCCAACCCCACATCGATGTCACCCTCAGGGGATGTCCCCAACCCCATTGCAATGGCCCCGACCCTCGCCTGGTGACCCCAGTCCCACACTGGGGACCTCAACAACGTGTCCATGCCCTTGACCCCACACCCTTGACCCCAAACCCTGTTGGTGACCTCAATTTTGTATTGGTGACCCCCAATGTGGTTTTGGTGACCCCCAATGTGGCTTTGGTGACCCCCAATGTGGTTTTGGGGACCCCAACCCCATGTTGATGTCCTTAGCCCCATGCTGGGGACCCCAATTTTGTACTGGTGACCCCTGTGTGGTTTTTGGGGACCCCAACCCCATGTTGGAGACCCCAATTTCGTATCGGTGACCCCAATGTTGTTCTGGTGACCCCAATGTGGTTTTGGTGACCCCCAACCCCATTTTGTGCCCCGCCCCCTCTCCCCCGCCCCGCGCATTGCCGGGACGCGCTGCGCACAGCGTCTCATTTGCATAAATTACCATACCGCCCCCGTTCCGCCCCCTCCCCGCTGTTTCCGCCCCCTCCGCCTCCTCCTCCCGCCCACTTCCCGCGCGTTGACGTCACGGGGCGGCGGCGCGCGCTGCTGATTACCATCTCATTAGCATATGACGCGGGAAGGCGGAAGCGGCGGCGGCATGGGGCGGAGCGGGGCCGCCCTGCGGCTGGCCCTGGAGGGGAACATCGGTACCGGGGGGACACGGGGGGATCTGGGGGGCGAGGGGAGCGGGGGCGGCGCGGGCTGCGAGTTAATGGCTGTAATTATCTTAATTACCGCTGCTGGGGGGGCGCCCCGAAACCCCCGAGCTGCTGGGAGCTGGGAGAGGGACACAAAGGCTGTCCCCGGGTTAGGGACACCCGGGTCACCCCAAATTCTCGGGGGTCGGGTTGGAGTCAGCTGGGTCACCCCACATTCCCAGGAGCCAGGAAGGGGCACCCCCAGATTTATCCCACAGTGGGGAAACGCCAGGTTCACCCCGATATTTCCGAGATTTGGGGTGGGGGGACCCCCAGATTCAGCCTGTGTCCCGGGGGGGACACTCAGGCTCACCCCGGGATTTGGGGCAGGGGGACACCCCGGGTCACCGCATGTTACTGGGGTTTTCCGGGGGGACACCCCACATTCCCAGAGTACAGGGCTGGGGACACCCCTGCTCACGCCGCATCCCTTAGGGCCAGGATTGGGGACACCCAGGATCACCCCACATCCCTTAGGGCCAGGATTGGGGACACCCAGGCTCACCCCACATCCCTTAGGGCCAGGATTGGGGACACCCCTGCTCACCCCACATCCCTTAGGGCCAGGATTGGGGACACCCCGGCTCACCCCACATGTCCAGGAGCCGAGATGGGGGCACACCAGGCTGACCCCATATCCCAAGAACTGGGACAGGGGGGACAACCCGGGCTCACCCCACACCCCCGGGGACCCCGGGCTCACCCCACACCCCCGGGCTGACGCTGCTCTCCCTCCCCTCCCGCAGCCGTGGGGAAATCGACCTTCCTGAAGCTGCTGGCTGCCACCTTCCCGCGGTGGCACCTGGTGACAGAGCCGGTGGCGCAGTGGCGCAAGGTGCAGCCGGCCGCTGGCACTGCCCAGGTAACGCCACCCCCAGCCCTCCAACCCTAAATGTCCCCACTGGTGTTCGGGGCTGTGCCAACCTGCTGCCACCCAGAATGTCCCTGCAGGTGTCCCAGGGCTGAGCCAACCTGCTGCCACCCCAAGTGTCCCCACTGGTTGTCGGGGCTGTGCCAACCTGCTGCCACCCAGAATGTCCCTGCAGGTGTCCCAGGGCTGAGCCAACCTGCTGCCACCCCAAGTGTCCCCACTGGTTGTGGGGGCTGTGCCAACCTGCTGCCACCCCAGATTTCCCTGCAGGTGTCCCAGGGCTGTGCCAGCCTGCTGCCACCCCAAATGTCCCTGCTGGTGTCCCGGGGCTGTGCCAACCTGCTGCCACCCCAAATGTCCCCACTGGTGTCTCAGGGCTGTGCCAGCCTGCTGCCAGCCCTGACCCCAAATCCACAGGTGCTGGGGGGCTGTGCCAGCCTGCTGCCACCCAAATGTCCCCGCAGGAGCCCCAGGGCTGTGCCAACCTGCTGCCACCCCAAATGTCCCCATAGGTGTCAGGGGGCTGTGCCAACCTGCTGCCACCCCAATGTCCCCGCAGGAGCCCCAGGGCTGTGCCAACCTGCTGCAGCTGATGTACCAGGAGCCCGCCCGCTGGTCCTACACCTTCCAGACCCTGTCGTGCCTGAGCCGCCTCAAGGCCGCGCTGGAGCCCCCCGAGGAGGCCGGGGGCACCCCCGGGACCCCCCCGGCCGTGCGGGTCTTTGAGCGCTCGGTGTTCAGTGACAGGTACCCCAAAAAGGGGCACGGGCTGGGGGTGGGCGCCAGGGTGGGCAGAGTGTGTCCCCAGAGGGTGCTGAGTGGCAGCAGTGGCATCTGGGGGTGTTTGGGGGGTGGCCCTTTGGGGGATGCCCGGCTCGGGGGGCACCAAATGTGCCCCACGTTGGGGTTTTTTACCTTAACTGAACCTTAGGTTGAACCTTGGTCTTGTCTTCGTGCCATTTTGTAGATGAAACGTATTTTTCATGTATTTTATTTTTATATGTTTTACATTTTTAGACATATTTTTAATATATTATATATTTTTATACATGTTTTCTCCATATATATATATAATAATATATATTTTAATATAAATAATATATATTTTTATAATGGTTTTGAAAATGTTTTATATATATATAAAAAATATATATATAGACATTTTATATATGGTATATTTTTAATATACATTTTGTACACACCAAGGAGTAGCACCTGCATCTCCTGACGAGTACAAAAAAACCCCAAAACCCCCAAATCTGTGCAAATCTGGAGCTGCCCTGTGCCCTCGTGCCCAGGTACGTGTTTGCCAAGAGCCTGTTCGAGGCCGGGCACCTGCAGCCGCTGGAGTGGGCGATCTACCAGGACTGGCACCAGCTCCTGCTGCGGCACCTGGGGCCCCGCGCCGCCCCCCACGCCTTCCTGTACCTGCGCGCCAGCCCCCAGGTGGGCACCGGCACCGGGCACCGGGGGTTGCTCACCTGGGGCTGCACAACTGGGGTTGCACACCTGGGATTGCTCATCTGGGATTGGTCACTTGGGGTTTCACACCTGGGATTGCTCACCTGGGATTACACACCTGGGGTTGCACACCTGGGGTTGCACACCTGGGGTTGCACACCTGGGGCTCCACACCTGGGATTGCTCATCTGGGATTGGTCACTGGGGGCTCCACACCTGGGGTTCCACACCTGGGGCTGCACACCTGCAATTCCACACCTGCAGTTCCACACCTGGGGTTCCACAACTGGGATTGCACACCTGGAATTGCTCACCTGGGATTGCACACCTGGGGTTCCACACCTGGGGTTTCACACCTGGGGTTGCACACCTGGGATTGCACACCTGGAATTGGTCAGATGGGGTTGCACACCTGGGATTACACACCTGGGGTTGCACACCTGGAATTGCTCATCTGGGATTGGTCACTTGGGGTTGCACACCAGGGGTTGCACACCTGGGATTGCACACCTGCGATTCCACACCTGGGGTTCCACAACTGGGATTGCACAACTGGGGGCTCCACACCTGGGGTTGCACGCCTGGGGTTGCACACCTGAGATTGGTCACTTGCGGTTTCACACCTGTAATTCCACACCTGCAATTCCACACCTGGGGTTCCACACCTGGGGTTGCACACCTGGGATTGCACACCTGGGGTGGCACACCTGGGGCTCCACGCCTGGGGTTGCACACCTGAGATTGGTCACTTGTTTCACACCTCAGATTGCACACCTGGGATTGCTCACCTGGGATTGCTCACCGGGGGCTTCACACCTGGAGTTCCACACCTGGGGCTGCACACCTGGGGCTGCACACCTGAGATTGGTCACTTGGGGTTTCACACCTCAGATTGCACACCTGGGATTGCTCACCTGGGGTTGCACACCTGGCGTTCCACACCTGGGATTGGTCACTTGCGGTTCCACACCTGTAATTCCACACCTGCAATTCCACACCTGGGGTTCCACACCTGGGATTGCTCACCTGGGGCTCCACACCTGGCGTTGCACCCCTGGGATTGCTCACCTGGGGCTCCACACCTGGCGTTGCACCCCTGGGATTGCTCACCTGGGGTTGGTCACCTGGAATTGCTCACCTGGGATTGCTCACCTGGGGCTCCACACCTGGCGTTGCACACCTGGGATTGCACAACTGGGGCTGCACACCTGGGGCTCCACACCTGGAATTGCTCACCTGGAATTGCACACCTGGGATTGGTCACCTGGGGTTCCACACCTGGGATTGCTCACCTGGAATTGCTCACCTGTGGTTGCACACCTGGGGCTCCACACCTGTGGTTGCACACCTGGAGTTCCACACCTGGAATTGCACACCTGGAGTTCCACACCTGGGCTGCCCAAAGCATTTTCCAAAGGGTGAAATTCGTTTTTTCCCCCCCAGACGTGCCTGGAGCGGCTGCGGCGGCGGGCGAGGAGCGAGGAGGGCGGGATCCAGCTGGGCTACCTGCAGCAGCTGCACGGCCAGCACGAGCTCTGGCTGGTGGCCAGGGCCACCGAGTGAGTCCCCATGTGTGCCCAGCTTTGGGGTCACCCCAAACCCCGGCTTTTGGGGTTTTTTGGGGTTTTTTGGGAGTTTAACCCCTCCCAGGAGGGCGGGATCCAGCTGGGCTACCTGCAGCAGCTGCACGGCCAGCACGAGCTCTGGCTGGTGGCCAGGGCCACCGAGTGAGTCCCCAGCCTTGGGGTGCCCTGGGTTTTGGGTTTATTTGGGGTGGTTTTGGGGTGTTTTCGGGTTAAGCCCCCGCTGTCCCTCTGCAGGATCCATTTTCCAGCAGCACGGAGCGCGCCCGTCCTGGTGCTGGACGTGGAGCAGGACTTTGAGCACGACGTGGCCAGGCAGGGCCTGCTCATGGCACAGGTGGGTGCCACGGGTGGGGTGCCACGGGTGGGGTGGGTGGCACAGCCCCGGTGCCACCCTGGTGCCACCCCCTCCATTCCTGCACTGTCCCAGTGCCAGTTCCACCCCAGTTTCCATCCCAGTTCCGTCCCAGTGCCACCCTGGTGCCACCCCTGCCCCACCCCGGTGCCACCCTTCAGCCAGGCTGTCCTTGCAGGTGGAGGCCTTTGTGACATCCCTGGGTGCCCACCCTGTGCCAGCCCATCCCGAGCCCCTGGGCTCCGAGCAAGGGGCAGCATCTGCCTGAAGACCCCGAGGACAAGGGACACGTCCCTGAGGACAGGGGACATGGCCCTGAGGACAAGGGACACGGCCCTGAGGACAGGGGACACGGTCCCAAGGACAGGGGACACGGTCCCCATGACCAGGGACACAATTCCAAGGAGAAGGGACATGATCCTGAGGACAGGGGACACAATCCCAAGGACAGGGGACACAGTCCCAAAGACAGGGGGACACAGACCTGAGAAGGGACACGATCCCAAGGACCAGGGACACAATCCAGAGGACAAAGGACACGATGCTCAGGGCCAGGGACACAATTCCAAGGAGAAGGGACACGATCCTGAGGACAGGGGACACGTCCTGGTCCCCACTGTCCCCCAGCCCCTCTGTCCTGGCCGGGGCTGGATCCTCAGAGCCGTGTGGGGTTTTGGGCTCAGGGGGTCCCCAGGTCCTTGCTGTGACCCCTGCCCGTCTTTGGGGTGGATTTTCTGCTGGAATTCCGATTTTCCCGAGGAAAATCCCGGTGTTTGACCCAACCCCCATCACTTGTTAATTTATATTTCATTTTTTTTCCCTTAAATTAAGATCAGATCGCTGAGGAGCTGCTCTGTGTCTCGGGGTGTGGAGGGTCGGGGTGGCCCTGGGGGGACACGGGGGGACGTTGTGCCCCCAGTTTTGGGGTGTTGTGACAGGCAGTGCCCCATGGGTTTGGGGAAAACCACGGGGATTTGGGTCCTAAAAGGGGGATGGGGGATGGTGCTCGGCCTGTGGAGGGTCGGGGTGGCCCTGGGGGGACACGGGGGGACGTTGTGCCCCCAGTTTTGGGGTGTTGTGACGGGCAGTGCCCCATGGGTTTGGGGGAAAACCACGGGGATTTGGGTCCTTAAAGGGGGATGGGGGATGGGGGATGGTGCGGAACAAGGAGGAAAAAAGGAAAAAAAAAAATCGGAAAAGAGGGAAAAGGAAAATGGGGTTGGAAGAAAGAAGGGGTGGGATTAAAAGCGGCAGCACCCCGGTTTTGGGGGGGGTTATGGGGCGGGAGGGGTGGGGAGACAGCGGGGCCGCCCCCCCCCCCCCCCCCCGGGCTGGAAATTAAAACTCGGGGTGACTCGCGGCTCTGTCCCCCAGAAGTCGGCGGTGTCCCCGGGCCGGGGGACGCGGTGACCCCGCCATGTCCCTGTCGCCGGGCTGGGGGCTCCGCCAGCCCGGGCCAGCCGCCCCCCCGGCCGGGGGAAGCCCCGAAATCTGACGCTGCCCCCCCGGGATGGAGACGGAGAGGCTCCGCAGGGAGGTGAGCGACCCCCGGCTCCCCCAAACCCCCCTCTCGTCCCCGCTTTTTGGGGTGATTTGTGACCCCTTTGTCACCGTCGCTCGGAGGGGGCTGGTGGGGGCGCGCAGGGAAAGCCCCCCCTTGGTGGTGTTGGTGGCTGGGTTTGTTTTTTTTTTTTGAGGGTATTTCCGTGGGAAATGGGACTTTCTGCTGCCTTAAAGGCCACTTGGATGCCTTAAACCCACCCCCAAAAAAAAAATAATAATAATTTCAGCTCGTCCCTGGGGCATCCCCAAAGCAGCGCCGCGGGACGGGCGGAACAAAACCCAACTTTGAACCCAATTCCTGGGGATTTCTCTCAAAACGCTGCACGGCTGCCCCCCAAAAAGGAGGGGGTGCCAAGGAAGGGGGAGGCAGAGCCGTGCCCGGAGCTAAACAAGTTGCGGCGTTTTTTCTTCGCCCAAAAAAAAAAAAAAAAAAAAAAGAAAATAAAAATTCCAGCGCCTTCCTCCCCTCGGAGCTTCTGGTCTGACCGGCCGGGGTGCTTGGAACCGGGATTTCACATTTGGTGCCCACGCAAAAAAAAAAAGAAAAAAAAAAGGGGGGGGAGCTGCTCCGGCTGGGGGGTCTCCAGCGTGGGAGGGAGAAACATCTGCCTGGCGTTGGTTTCGCTGCTTTTCCCCCTTTAAAAACCCCAAAATTCCGTGTTGCTTTGCGCTTTTTTGGGTGCTTTTTTCTGGGTGCTTTTGGTCCTCCCCAAAAAAAAGGTTTTGCTTTTTTTGGTGCTTTTTGGGTGTTTTTGTCCCGCCCCCAAAAAAGGTTTTGCTTCTTTTGGTGCTTTCTGGGCGCTTTTGGTCCCCCCCAAAAAAAAAGGTTTTGCTTCTTTTGGTGCTTTCTGGGCGCTTTTGGTCCCCCCCAAAAAAAAAGGTTTTGCTTCTTTTGGTGCTTTCTGGGCGCTTTTGATCCCCCCCAAAAAAAAGGTTTTGCTTTTTTTGGTGCTTTTTGGGTGTTTTTGGACCCCCCAAAAAAAGCTTTTCCTTTTTTTGGCGCTTTTCTGGCGCTCCAGGGGGATTTTCCCTGTGGGAGGCTGGCATGGGGTGGCACGGACCTTGGCACGGGTGGCACGGACCTTGGCACGGGTGGCACGGACCTTGGCACGGGTGGCTCGCCGAGGCAAGGCGAGGACTTTGCCCTTGGTGAAAACTCAAAACCCGGCGTTTATCCGCGGCGCTTTCCCAAGCTATTGGGGAAAAATAGGAATTTTGGGGATGTTCCCGGGGTGCCGGCGGCCCGGGCCGGGCGTGCCGCGGTTCCCACGGCCCGGAGTCTCTCCCGGCCCCTTCCCAGCACCAGTTCCACCAGTCTCACCAGTTCCTCCGGCTCGGGAGGCCCGGCTGCAGCTCCTGCTGTCCCCCCGGGGCTCGTTTCCAGCTTTTTTCCCCCCCGTCCGCGAGGGTCTGCGGCGGGAGGAAGAGGAGGAGGAAGGTGGCGGAGGTCGAGGCTGAGCTCTCAGACCCTCTCCTGCCCTGCCGGGGTGTCTTTCGCGCTCATTTGCATAACTAATCAGCGTCTTGGCAAAGCCGCTCGTTAGCGCGGACCGCCCCAGCCGAGGGAAGGATGCTCGGACCCGACCCCTTCAGCTTTGGGGACAAATCCTAAATAAAGCCCACAGAAATCCCCTCTCCCAGCAGGAACGGGCTCACCACGGCCCCAAAACCACCGGGGATGGGATGGGGGCAGCTCGAGAGCATTCCCGACTTTGGGAATTCCTGTTCATCCCCCAAACCAGATCCCTGAACCAAATTTGGGGACAAATCTTAAATAAAGCCCACAGAAATCCCCACTCCCATTAGGAACAGGCACACCAGGGCCCCAAAACCACCGGGGGTGGGATGGGGGCAGCTCGAGAGCATTCCTGACCTTGGGAATTCTGTTCATTCCCCAAACCAGATCCCTGAACCAAATTTGGGGACAAATCCTAAATAAACCCCACAGAAAGCCCCATTCCCAGCAGGAACGGGCACACCACGGCCCCAAAACCACCGGGGGCGGGATGGGGGCAGCTCGAGAGCATTCCCGACCTTGGGAATTCTGTTCATCCCCCACACGAGATCCCTTAAATGAGTTTTTGGGAATAAACCCCACAGAAAGCCCCATTCCCAGCAGGAACGGGCACACCACGGCCCCAAAACCACCGGGGGCGGGATGGGGGCAGCTCGAGAGCATTCCCGACCTTGGGAATTCTGTTCATCCCCCAAACCAGATCCCCTAAATGAGTTTTTGGGAATAAACCCCACAGAAAGCCCCATTCCCAGCAGGAATGGGCAGACCACAGCCCCAGAACCACTGGGATGGGATGGGGGCAGCTCGAGAGCATTCCCGACTTTGGGAATTCCTGTTCATCCCCCAAACCAGATCCCTGAACCAAATTTGGGGACAAATCCTAAATAAACCCCACAGAAAGCCCCATTCCCAGCAGGAACGGGCACACCACGGCCCCAGAACCACCGGGGATGGGATGGGGGCAGCTTGAGAGCATTCCTGACGTTGGGAATTCCGTTCATTCTAAATAAAGCCCACAGAAATCCCCATTCCCAGCAGGAACGGGCACACCACGGCCCCAGAATCACTTTGGGGTGGTAGGGATAGGATGAGGGGCAGCTCGAGGTGTCCCTGGGGCATTCCCGGCGTTGGGAATTCCGTTCATCCCCCCACATGAGATCCCCTAAATGAGTCTGGGGACAAATCCTAAATAAACCGCAGAGAAATCCCCACTCCCAGCAGGAACCAGCCCTGGACTCAGGTTTATCCAAGCCTGGCCTGAGTTTATCCAACTCTGGACTTGGGTTTATCCAAGCCTGGTCTCGGGTTTATCCAAACCTGGACTCAGGTTTATCCAAGCCTGGATTCAGGTTTATCCAGCCCTGGACTCAGGTTTATCCAAACCTGGACTGAGGTTTATCCAAGCCTAGACTCGGGTTTATCCAACCTTGGACTCAGGTTTATCCAAGGCTGGACTCAGGTTTATCCAAGCCAAATGACCAATGTTCCCCAATTAACGCACCCAAACTGATGGACAATTAACGATGTTCTCTGGGGTTTAATGGCAGGAGAGTATTTGTGGGGGGGGGGGATAAAGAGCTTTTTGGGGGCTCCCCGGCTGCTTTTGGGGTTTTTGGCTGCTCCTCCCCCGTCGCAGTTTCCTGGGGGACAGTGACACAAAGAGCGGGGTTTGGGGCCTAGACTCAGGTTTATCCAAGCCTGGTCTCAGGTTTATCCAAGCCTGGTCTCGGGTTTATCCAAACCTGGACTCAGGTTTATCCAAGCCTGGATTCAGGTTTATCCAGCCCTGGACTCAGGTTTATCCAAACCTGGACTGAGGTTTATCCAAGCCTAGACTCGGGTTTATCCAACCTTGGACTCAGGTTTATCCAAGGCTGGACTCAGGTTTATCCAAGCCAAATGACCAATGTTCCCCAATTAACGCACCCAAACTGATGGACAATTAACGATGTTCTCTGGGGTTTAATGGCAGGAGAGTATTTGTGGGGGGGGGGATAAAGAGCTTTTTGGGGGCTCCCCGGCTGCTTTTGGGGTTTTTGGCTGCTCCTCCCCCGTCGCAGTTTCCTGGGGGACAGTGACACAAAGAGCGGGGTTTGGGGGTCCTGTGACCCCATTTTGGGCTTGTGGGGTCGCGTGTCTGTGCCCCTGTCCGTGTCCCCCTTGTGTGCCACCTGCACCTCCCTCATGTCCCCACATCCCCCCGTGTCCCCTTCTTGTCCCCACTCATGTCCCCCTCATGTTCCCCTGGGGGAAGAAGAGGAGGAGGAGGAGGAGGAGGAGGAGGAGGAGGAGGAGAGGGGGGGAGCAGGGATGCGGCGCTCATTCCCCCCCCCGGCTGCAGCGGGGCGGCGGTGAGGGAGCGCGAGGAGAGGGAGACAAGATGGCTTCCTCCTGAGGGCCGGAGCCGTGCGGGGCCGGCGGGGGCTGCGGGGGCAGCGCGGGGGCAGCGGCGAGGTAAGCGCACCCCTTCCCCGCTCCGAAACACTCCCTCTGCACCCCCCCAAATCCCCCCAGAAAACCCCAATCCCTCCTTGGGCTTGCGGGGCGCTGCGGGGGAGGTTAAAGACCCCCCCCCCCCCCCCCCCCCCCCCGGCGCGGCCG